AGTAGTGACGCCATTACTGCTCGTCGGACTTCGTTTCATACTGAAGAATGCTGTCTCGTGGGGTGTGGCGCCGTTTATTCCGGTAGAAGTGACATCCCAGGAGATAGTACTCATCCTAAAGATCGCCGTGAATATCTCAAATCCAATATTTACTCCATAATTTAGCAAAATAACAGCCAGAAAGTATTTGTGTGTCTCTTGATCTCGCTGTTGACCCATGGTTTATATCGCCTCCAGAATAACAAGTATGAATGTCTGTATGTATACAGTACCCACTGTAGGATGCGTTGGCGTCGGTTGGTGACGCAGATCGTTATGCTATCATTAGAAAGTTGCGGTATTCTAGTTTAAACACATTTCCGTTATTCATCTGTCTGTCTATCTATCTACCTACCTACCTGTCTGTCTGTCTATTTCCTGTTACTCCCACTTGGAGCATAGGGCATCCGCGAAACGCTTCGTTTCCTTCAGTTTCTTAATCTTAGACAGTCGGTAGGACTCCTTGGACTGGGGATTAGCCCGACGGAAGGCCGCAACCTACACAGGACAACACAAACACAGAATAAACGTAGACAGAAATACATGCCTTCAGTGGCATTCAAACCCACAATCCCAATGCCACTGTGATTGACCGTTATTCGTATTACGGTGGGAAATTCAGGAACACTGACACAGGACATTTCGTCCGTAAGGTTTCCTACACAAAATATGGCGTGCCCTTGTTCATAGAATTGACGGAGTTTACTATGCTGTGTTTGTGAATTGTGCAGTTCGTGTTTCAGATTCAAAGACATGATTTGTGTACATAATAAATAACGAAAACAAATCGATTGCGGTGGACATGTAAAGGTCGACTCCTCTAAGAAAAACAGGATGCGGCACGCACTTCGTCAGTTGTTCATCCTCACAGCCTCCCTAATTTACAACGTAATTCTATCCTCATATCTCCCTTTCTGTCTCTTTCGTGGCGTTCTTTCAAAACATTTGTCACAGTGTTCTCTATACGAGTATATTCTTCTGACTAACCCACTTCATGCGAGGCACCTGCCTTCCTTATCTAGTGTACGCTATACTAGAATGCAGGGCGCCAAGACAACATGTAGAAGAGCTTACGCTGGAATCATAAAAACATAAGTCTAAAGTTTTCTTATTGGTCTGGTGAGATGATGTATGTTAGGTAGGGCCCTGCCCGGGACCTAAATGTTTTGAACCCTCCCCACCCATCCGCTGTTTCTCCTTACCATTTTAATGAGATGCATGTCATGCAGATGTCGCCAGCAACGTCATGGCCTTCTCAGTTGCAAGATCTCATTAGCTTCCATCCCCCAGCCCCAAGATGGCAGCACAAACTCGTATGCAAATTGAACATCGCTGCCACAAAAAAAAAAAAAGCTGACTGTCGTCGCATTCTCTCCGCCTTTGGCATCTGATATTAAAATGCTGAAAGCTGTGGATTATGTAAGTTATTAATTATGGCGACAGAGATGACAACCTGTAAAAAAAGATTATAATTTCCATGATTTTAAGGACTGAGCAAGTTCGCATAACAGCAACGCGCTTGAATCATATTCGGAAAGTGCTCGATTCGTGTCTCTACTGGGATATAGGCTATCCTGACTAAGGTTTTCGTTGTTTTGCGGCCGGGGCGTGAAGCTGACCACTCACCTCCAACTAATGCCGAGGTCAAGAAAATGTGGATCTATACACCCACTCAAATAGAGACCGGTTTATTTGAAGCATACTTCTAGTCTGTATGCGAGTGCATTTTCTGAAATTGCCGTTACATTTGAGTTCTATTTCTGGAGCCCAGGTTTTCACCGACTTCAGAATATTGTATTGTCATCCTCGTGCAGTTAATTGAACCGTGCTTCAGCACAAGTGTTTACGAGTTCTGTGCATTTACCCGAGGATCTGAAATGTAAACAAGAGTTGCAGGAATCTTCTTCGCATGACGTGACTATAAGGAAAAAGAAACGCATAGTGGGGGAGTTTGGCTGTGATGGCTCGGTCAGTAAAGTGACTGGCTACATGTATGTCAGCCGAGGTTACCATTTTTACCCTGCACATTAAGTGAAGATAAGTAGTCAGGTTCCAGCTGCGGCCAGTTTACTCTGTGTGAAGGAGTAGGGTACCCAGTATTCGCTGGGCATGCTAGATAGACCCAAAAACCGTTCCTGTTACGAGGTCTTGTCGTGCCCCTGCCAGGAATCGAACTCCGGTCATTAAGTTGGAAACCGTTGCTCATGTAGAATTTCATATTTATGACCACAGTTTTTGCATTATTTTTGTTCTGGCTGGATCATACTGCGTACCATATTACCCGACATGCAATTAATTCCACGTTACTCTGTACGTTTCCTAGTGACCTTCAGTGTGAAGTTTATTTTGCGTTCTCTATGAAGACAGAAATGGTGGTGTAATGAATTGTCCGTTAAAAGAAGATGGTCGGAAACATAAACTGTTTTAGTTACCTTCTCATAGTTTCCTTTTGCATTAATTTAGATTTCTTGAATCACGGTTATCGTATAAGCCTATACAGTTGGAAATACATTCTTACATAAATCGCTATATTTGCCTGAACTGAATGCGCATCAGATTATAAACGAAGCAGTAGCTCTCTGCATTCACAAGCCATTCACCTGCTCTGAAGATGGAGGCGATACGTTCCTCCGAAACGTCGGCCAAAACGAAGAATACACGGCGCCAAAACCCAGAAGACGACTTTCTTCATAGTCAACACCGTGAAAACCTCAAAACTTACGAAACGTACACTGTTTACGTATTATTTTACGGATAATTTATTGACCAGCTTCGAAGTATAGTAAACAACTGTCGTTTTAAAAGCGTTTTCCCTCTCCCCCGTTGTTGCTGTCTATAAAATAGATATATTAATTTCAGAACTAGCCGCTCACGATGACCACGCGATTTGAGGAACGAACTGTCTTCGCTCGCTAGAATTCTGGGATCGTTGGTTCGAATTCCACTGAGGGGATGGATATCTTTCTGCGTTTATTCTGTGTTTTGCGACGGGTTGATTCCCCGTCCGAGACCTACCGACCGTGTATACTATACACTGTATAGGATTAAGAAACAGAAAAAGTGGCCAAGGTCCAAGAAAAGTCTGTAGCGGTCTGTAAAGCCATAGGTAGAATTTCAGAAGCAAGACCATTTGAGGTTGTATCGTCTATTGCACATCAACTTATTTTGGAAGGAGGAAGCGTTTGTGCCCTATATTCGGACAAATGCGCTAATAAGACAGCGTGAGTTGCGCCCCCTTTTCCGTTTATATCTGACAATATCGAAACCAGCAGAAATATGAACTGTCCCAGTGTTTCTCCAAGGAAACCACAAAACAAACCGCTCCTGCTTGATGTCTGTCTGTCGTGATATAGTGGTCCAAATCTAAGAGCTCGTTAGTTTCTCTGCTTGCTTCTCTGACACGTCGAAGGAAAAACAACTCTTTTTTGCATGCAGCCTTCAAGGACATATCGAGCGCAGACGGACATGCTCACGGGCAGACAGACTTGCATACATTAAATTTGCAAAGTAGCTACCGGGAGGTCTCTGTGGCTGAAGTGTGTCACTGCATGCTTAAGAACTCAGTCCGTTTGTAAGTTCAGATCCTCCGCGAAGAGTGCCTTTTCTTAAATATCACTCATTTCACTCATTCGTGGAGCTGAGCACTTCTTGAGAAGCCGCCAGTTGTGCAGCTACTCAAAAACTTGGCAACATTTTATGGAACCCCAAGGTTCATCGCCATATTTACAAGAGCCCTCCATTGGTCTCTAACCTGAACCAGATCAATCCAATCAATACCATCCCATCCTGTCTCTCTAAGACCCATTTTAATATTGTCCACCCACCTACGCCTTGGCCTTCCCAGTGGTTTTTCGTAGAGAGGTTGGATGTTAGCATTCATAGACGCCGAAATATTTGACCTGCAGTTATTGTTGACGTAGAGGGCTATAGGTCATTATTACTGTGATGAGACGCAGCAGTCATTGGAGAAGTCAGTGTGTCAGCGTGTTCTGTGACTGATCAAGTTAATAAAGAAAATGTAAACATGAGTAAATAATCACATGAATGTGGTCTCGAAGTTAAGATTGCATGGAGCTCTAACTAGATTTCCGAAACGTCTTCATGGTTTAGTGTTTATAAAATTTTACCTTTGCATGAAAAATAAGTAATCAAGATAATAAAAGTGTCAGTGTAATTAAGTAAATCGTTAAATAACTGAATATATATTAATCAGTATGCTTATTTAGTTTATTACTGAATGAATAAATAAGTAGCACATATATACCTATAGGTCTGTATATTAGTATGAAGGGATAAGTAAATATTTAAATATTCTCATAGTGCAGGGATAGCGCAGTCAGTACAGCGACTGTCTATGGGTTGGACGACCAAGCGGTCGGAGTTCGAGTCCCAGTGGGGGCAAGAATTTTCACTTCTGCATGTCTTCCAGACCGGCTCTGGAACCCACTTAGCCTCATATGCAATTGGTACCGGCTCCTCTTCCCCCGGGGTTAAAGCGGCCGGGGCGAGAAGGTGACAACACCTCCAACTAGTGCCGAGGTAAAGAAAATGTGGATCTATACATCCACTCCCCCATACGTCTTCATGGCGTAATGCTTAATTAGTTAAACGCAAGGGAAGCCTTACCTTTACCATGGTGAAGGGCTGAGAGTTTCGCTTAATGGGGGGTTGAGTCCAACTGGGTCCATTCGGCACGGCGGCCATTGATTGGCCTATTGTAGCCTGCCCCGGGTGATTATGATGATGGAGAATTTGGTGGAATGAAGATTGGCAGGGGAAACCGAAGTACTTGGAGAAAGCCCGCCCCAGCGTCACTTTGTCAACCACAAATCCCACTTGACCAGAGGTTGAGAGTTACTCAACAAGTTAATAATTTCCCTGTCTTTGTAGGACAGGTTCATAACCGTGTCCGCAAAATCTATTCACTCCCTCTCTCAATGTGTTTTGTGGTTCTTCCGCAGACGGCACTGCACTGGGCTGCCAAGCACGGGAATGACGACGTTGTGAAGCTGATCGCCGGGACGTACCAGGCCGACGTCAACGCCAGATCGGTGAGTGTGCTTCACGTCACAGTACATCAGTCCATCCATTCAAACAGCCCGTCACTGTAGAGTAGTTCTCCTCCTTAAAATTAATGGTAAACCGTTGGCTGTGAAAGGTAAACGTAACATGAAGTTGACGCCATGCATAAACACTTTTCATCAAGATGTAAAGGGAATTAGAGCTAAAGCTGTATGCATTATACGCAGACGCGAGTGGCCAGCTCCGTGCTGTGGCCATTCTGTACGCAAGCAAATCGCTCTTAGTAGGGCTTCTTAGTGGCTGGAAGGCCGAGCGCAACCTGAAAGAAAATTCCAATAGTTCAGCCCGTAACAAAATTATTTTATGTTTCCCCATCAGCCCAGAACTGTAAGAAATGTTTAATTTTAACCGCATTTCATGTAGGCCTACTGTTTTTAGCCTACTTGCTTTACTTAAAAAAATAACACGTCTTCTTGTATATGTCCTGCCTATTAACTTTTGAATGGCTAACGAATCTTTATGAAACTTGGTTTGTATATTATGGCACCGGAGCCAATCCCAACGGCGTAATTCATAAATCCCTTGCATCAGTAATTCCATGATTGCTGCTTCTCTAATTCTGAGACAGAAACTTAATATTGCTTGAAATTTCGTGTGAAGTGAGGCGATCTCAACGGCATATTTATAAATCCATTCGATCAGTAATACCAACTTTACAGCCTCTGAAATTGTTGCTATAATAACCGTAATGTTACTTAAATGCCTTAACCGATCATCCTAGATCTTGCCACCTGAACCAATTTCAACGGGATATATCAGGTCAAAGGGTAGGCATCAGACGAAGAGAGACACCAAAAACTGATGCCGGAAGCAGCGTCATCAGCAGCGACTTGAAGCACAGAGCAAATGATGCTCGAGATGGTTCGAGTCGTATAGCAACAGGCGTGACCAGAGTGGTTTGAACGGCTGTTGTACTGCGATGTGGAAAGCAAATGGAAAAACTACCACATTATCACTTTTCCTGGATAGTCTCTTTCCAAAAACAGAAGATCACATTAAGTGGAGGAACTGTTTTGGAAGAGACTGTGGACCTGTCGTCTGACAGATTACTGATGAATGAATGAATATCATAATTACCTCTCTTCAATAATACCAACACTATGGGCTCAAACTTGTTGAGGTAGTACCCTTAATGTTGCTGGAATGCCTGGACCGATGGTCAACGGTGCACGTGTAAATCACTGCCATCAGTAATGCCAACACTGCAGCCTCCACAATTGTATTGATTAGGCATACGTTTTCTCTCTTTGTATCAGTTACTCACATTACAGGGAAAAGAAAGTAGGCAATTAGTAGTTCTTCCCAACTGTCTTCGCCCGCTCTAACACTGGGTTCGTGGGTTCGAATCTCATTCGAGGCATGGATGTCTGTGTGCGTTTATTCTGTGTTTGTGTTGTTCTGTGTGTAGGTAGCGGATTTGCGGCGTGCTGATCCCCCGTCCAAGGAGTCCTACCGACTGTGTGTAGGATTAAGAAACTGAAGAGGGGTCAATGTCCAACAAAGGGCTGTAGAGCCACAGATGGATACGATCCCAAAGAATAGCCACGGAGAATGTGTTTATTCCAGTATTTAATTAGTGTTTTTGGTTGATTCCTCTAAAGGCTAATGTTGGTATCCTAATTTATTTCCTGAAAGCGCCCCTTTTCGCTTATTTAAGGCAACTTAACGCAGTATCCATTGTGGACTAGTTGTTACGATGAACCGGTGCCTTGCGACCCCCGTACAGCTCCGTTCTCTCTGTATGTACTGATGATTTATCATCAGATAATGGAGTACGTTCCAGCTACTCTCTTATTTTCACGTTTATAACACAGGGTCCTTACAGGCAACAGCTTGCGTGCATTAGAGTAGCCATCGCCCTCCCTGCTCCCCCCTCCACCGGTGTCTCTTTCATAACCATCAAACGATGACGGCACAGCAAAAACTTAACGATGGGGAAATTTCTTTTTGTGTTTATTCACACATCGTAAAAATATTATAAGCGTTAAGTCTGAATTTTTATTATAATGACTATTTAAATATTACTTAATGTTATGTTCTTGTTTTCCGTTATGTCTCTACTTACTGTGTTCCCCCGTGTTTTCATTACCTAGTTTCTAGTATCCAGTGACGAGGACCAGCAGCTAATTCGACTCGGTGTATGAAAATACAGTTCTCCTTCCGGATAAACGTTCATTGGCCGTGAGGTTTGTCACTTGTTTTAGGGTTCTGAAGGATTGGAGATCATCTTTTTTTCAAAAGATGTCTGCGTTGGATATGAGCCTTTGTTGAGGTCTATACTATGTACGTTTGACAGTGAAGTCAGTCATTTATATGTTTTTTTTAAATAATACTAGAGCAAATACCTAATTCGGTTTCAGATGACTTAAGTAAACCCGCCATTCTTAATCACCATATCTGTTGACTTATAAATAAAATGGGGATCTGCTAATTTTCGAAATATTGTAGGAATTCTTTAGTGGCATCCTTTCTTCTTGATAAATTCTCGCCCCTAGCACATGTCGAAGAAAAACCTACCGTGTATGAATATCGTCTGTAACAGCCGTGGTAAGCCTGTACTAGGGAGAATTTAGAAGCAAGTTCCATTTCACTGTAGAGGTATAGGTTCTCACAGCGGTGCTGATGGAAGAGTACTATCTTCTGGGATATAACGCCGTGTGATCCGTTGTAATTCAGCCGAAGTTTCGGGGAACATATGGCCTCCATCTTCAGGGTAGAATAAATCGAGCTGATATCTTGCTTGACTTATTCCACCCTGAAGATGAAGGCGATTTGTACCCCCGAAACTACAGTTGACTTCCAGCGGATTACACGGCGTTGTATCCCAGAAGATAGCACTCCTTAAAATCAAAGTTTTTCATCTTTGAACATAGGTCCTAGTCTCCTTTTATGTATATGCTTATATTTGGGAAAATTATATTACAGAACTATATGATCGACCTAAGCGGCCAGAAACCTTGGAAGTGGTACCGGAAGAAGAAGTAGATACAGACGAGAAAGAACCATATATTTTACAAAGTGAGGTGGAAAAAGCTATCAAGGAAATGAGGAAGGGAAAGGCTACAGGAGATGATGATGATGTACCTAGAGATGTGCTCAAGTTACTGGGAGAAGGTGGTTTGAAAACACTGACAAAACTAATGAACACCATATATGAAAGTGGAGAGTGGCCCAAGGACTTTACAGAAGTTACAATGATTGCCTTAAAGAAAAAGACAAAAGCTACAAAATGCAGCGACCATCGCACAATAAGCCTTATTGCACATA